TTTATGACTTTCCACCAATGTTGTTACGATATCTTCAGCAATAATGCAAGGGAGGCGGGCAAAGTAACGAAAGTGGTATTGTCGGTGAGACAGTAGTGAACTCAGAGTGTAGTCGGTGATGTGGGTAAGGTAGAGAAGGCGGGGGTGGCGGGAGGGAGTGTACATAAAAGCATGTGAAGACGGAGAAGTCGTGAAAGGCGGCGTGAAGGGAAATAAACAATGTTAATAGATGGCAGAACCCCCAGGCGTAGTTCAGCGAAACTGGCTCATACTTTCTACTTTCTCGCTACCATTTATGCATTAGAGTTATGTAATACTGCGCGAAAATAAACAGTGAATTTTTCGACAGAAAAACTCATATTGCAGCGCCCTGGTCCCGCAAAAGTGGGTAAATCCAGATGCTAAAATTATGAAAAAATGTCCTCTAAAACGTGGCACAGGCAACAATGCATGGTTTGTGTGTTCTTGATAACTAAAAATCATGTGACGGCAAAGCGCCTGTCCATCTCTGAACAACGCTAGCAGTTAAATCGTGAAGTCGAATTTCTAGAGAATTGATATTCCCCAATCGATATTGCTGATATCGCGGCCCCTTGATTTTGAAACATACTTTAATTTTGGAGGGTACTTTACATGAAGCTCCTGGGACATTTTCAAAAAATGGCTCCATTTTTTAGTAAACTTTGTTATTGGTTAGTCAGAATGACATTTAAGAGAATAGAACAAGTCTCATTTCCTTTAAAACAATTGATTATTAGAAAGATGCAAAACTTCAAATATTTTTTAGGTCTCCCGAGTACTACGATTACGAAAACAGAGATTTATCCCTTAATGAAAGCTGCTCCTTAAAGATAGATTTTATAATAAAGTCACGTACAATTTTTTGAAAATGTTAGAATTTTTTGCGTAATTTTGCGTGAAAATATGTGCGAGAAAGAACGTACTGTTTTAACACCACTATTTCCTACTGCCGACCCGTCAACACTTCCACACGTCTGATAACCCGTCACCCGCCTGGGGACGTGGTTTCGATTTCGAGTTAATTACCCGTTGTCTATTTGGCCCCATGCTCCACCGCACTGGTGTATTACAGGATGATTAAGTGTACCCAACAGCGCTCACAGCATTTTTGTGTGACTTTTAAATTACCCAAGCACTGTGAGCAAGCGAGGATCTTTTAGCACTAATGGAAAAACGTGAGTAGAAAGAGAAAGTGATGAACTACGATCTCAAGGGATTTACTGATTGCCTTATTTGTGTTTAATTCAGTGATAAGCTGTGTGCAATACTATGTATACACATTTATTCTGTATATCACACTATATAATTATTAAATAAAAATATAATTCTCTCTACAGAATATTCTCTTGGTATTTATGTGAAGGTTTATAACATTCAGCTCAAAAGAAGAACAGTCATAGCCTGTCTTATAGGTACTGATCGAAATGCGAATAAATATTCGTTATAGAGAATAATAAACAAAGCACATTTACGTACACTTTTTTTTACTGCATGCCCTGAAAGTAATAGATGTTATTGTATATAGGCATTATAAACAACATTTTGCATTTAACAAAATCGTTCATAAAATGGCATATTTTTGAACAAGTCATTATGTCATCATTATTCTGCACGAATACCAATCATCGCTGACGTAACTGTCACAGCCTTCTTTTACCAACTTTGGAGCATTAATGTGACAGAATCATGTAAATAGATTGCAGTGTCGGATGTATTTTTTTAAAAAAAAGATGTTTAAAATCATTGTTACCAACAAATATTAATATTCCAATTGTTTAAATTTGCGAACTCTAAAAGAAAAATTTAATTCTAATATACTTGCGCCGCCCAGGCGTCGTTCCCTGAAAAGAAAAGTCTGAACTTCTAACAGATTCCAAAACATTGATGAGAAAGGTGAACACGATTCAATAGGAATACTATTTCCAACGAGAATGAACATAGCATTTTTTTCTGAAGACATTCCATTGGCTAGGCCGCAAACTCAAAACCTGATATTATATTTTTCTACGCATTACAAAGAATAAATAATAACCACCAAGGGAACAAAAATGGCAAAACAATGAAAACTCTGTTATAGATCCTAAAACTCTCGGAGATATTCAAATTACAATCGGCACTCTGTTAGTTGAAGAGTAGAAACACTTACAAAGGACATAGTGAGACTTTCAGTAATGTTTCTGTAGCACGACGCGATTTCTAGTTTACCTCTTTGGCAGGCAGCCAGTTCAGCGGTGCATTTCCACCATTGTTGATTCTTAGTCCATTGCATCGCCAAACTACACCATGCCACAACGACAGCCGCTTCAAATATACCTTGCTACTTCCACTCGCTTAAGTTCCACTTTTCCTTTTTCTCCCCCTCGGTGGAGAGAGGGGGTGGCAGCGGGGGGCGGCGGCGGTGACGGCGGCGGCGGCCGTCCAGCTGCCTGGCTTATCATCACCCTTGCGATGCGGCGGGGAACTTCGTTTTGGTACAACCAGTGGGAAATTAAATATATTTATTCCTTTTTTAAGAGGAACGTGAGAAATTCGTATTATCACCCCCACAATCGATTTTAACAATATGGATCGCCCAACCCGGCGAGAAATTGTCTACACTCTGCTCCAGCACAAATGTGTTCTCAGCCCCCTCACTCCCCCTTACCTAGAAAACAGTTTTCCTGTACATTTGACAGCCACCATCGCCTGCTCGCCGCGACTTTCCCCGTACCCATAAGAAAATCAGTGGAAACCAGCGGACACCCTCGCACAACCAACATGGGCTGGCCGGCCGCTATATAAACGTGAGTCAGGAATACTCAACGAATTAGAATATACTACATAGAGTGGCCGAAGCGCAGCCATCATTGCCGCAAATTGAAGCCATTTTTGTAACAGTCAAAGCAGAATCAACTGGGAACTTATTCAATATAACAAATTTATGCTATTTAAGTTTTAAGAAATATTAATTTAAGTATGTAGTTGAAATCAGGACTATGAAAGCACTTGAAAAATGATAAATTTGTCGTTTGATTACTTCTACTTTTAGAGTTATATGCTGAAGACACTCAAGTCTGTGAATACTATTATTCTAACAGCTAATATAATTTAAATACAGTTAAATGAAAAATACTACAGCATAGAAATAAAATCTGATACAAACAACAGATCTATTAACAATTTTTTTTGTTAAAATTTTGTTCTCTGAAAGCGTAAAGAATGCTTAAGAGAGCGGTGAAGGTCATGTTCATTGAAATCATTGATTTTCCAATTGAACGAGAATTTGCCAATTTTATTTTTTTCGGCGGCTTCCTACAACTACAGTTATGAAGTTACATTTTTCCTTAATTACATATGTTTGAAATGATTGAAATTTTGAACTTATGGCTGAGGTGTTAGTAGGGCAGAAATGGCATTATTACGCAACTTCTTTCAATAATGCGAGAAAATGTGCTCTAGTAGCATCTATAGTTCTTATTTTCAATTTATTGCAGTATTATTCATGAGTATTGAATTTTGTTGTTCATAAACAGTATGTATACTACTTTTGGAAAACCAATTGTGCGATTTTAAACACAATTTTTACTAGTAAATTTCACTCATCATATTATTACTGTGAAATGTATTTTTGTATTTCATTGAATACTGTTATATTTATTTATGTTATGAATACTGTATATTTGTATTTTATTGCTGCTTTTAGTCTGATGAAGGAGACCTATTCCTAGAAATCTTAGCACGAACTGTAATACACATTTTCCAAATTTACCTAATGCTGTTTTATTTGTGAAAAGCGATTAAAATTCTCATGTTTACAATGTGGTCTGTTCATACTTAATTAGACATGTGGCATAATAAATCTATTTTACTTTATAAAAATGTTTGCTTTAGTAGTATTGCAATTGATTCAGGAATCCGTTGTAGACATCTCCTCCAGTGCCTCCAGTCTCCATGTACCTAAATGATCTTGATATGCGACTTTTAAAGCAGAGGTTTATCCAAAGATGGTCAAGCGAACGACGTACTAAAGATATTCTGAAATTTTCTTCAGAATCAAGGGCAAAAGGCTCCTCTTAACAGGTGTAGAAAAAGGTGATTGAAATTCGGTAAGACACTTGTCTCCACAGTTCCACCAGTCAAGGGAGTGCCCGACATCCTAAGCATTCCATGGCCAGTCTCTGCTCAACCATCCAGCACTATGGATTGATTGATTGATTGATTAAAGATTCCTGGCGCGTCAACCACTAAGGCCGTCAGCGCAGAAAGTGTAGTGCATGTTTTCGAATCGAGGGAGATGCTGATGTCCTTCCGCTGAATGGAGACATTCGTCGCTGTCCTAGACGTTGACTTGCGGTTTTTTCCTCAACCAGTTATCTCCCACCCGGAAGACACCACCCCAGACAGGACAAGTTCTAAACTCCCAACTGGCCTTCCGTAATGTATGGTCAAGTAGTGCCTGTGTTTGTGTGTTTAAGCCAGGGTGAGGATATGACAAGGAAGAGGAAGAAAAGATCGCTCTCGGTCCGTGACCCGTTTATTATGCTGTCGATGAGAGAAACCACGGAAAATTACCGATAAGGGCAACCATGTGTTGGAATTGTCCTACAAATAGCGGCTGAACTCGACTTAACTATGTTCTAACTTATTTCTCCTGAGAATTACAAAACGGCTTTATTCCGAATCTATTAATTTTTACTGCAATTCAACTGTAATTATCTTTACCGCATTGATGCTTGTTACGGTTCATTTTGGAAGATAACGTACTACAGAAGCTAACATTTGTGCTTTTCAATTATCATCCGGCTCGAAAGGTCAAACAACGTGGTTACATTGCTTATCACAATCTGTAGACAAGTAATGAGAGCGGTTCCAATGCGCCTCTGTCAATCAAATTCGTCCTTTAACCTTGTTGGGGTCGAACATGTTGACCTCTGAGGTTTTAGAGAAAAAATAACTCACGGACTCCCCCGGGGAAAGTATAAAAAGGACAACCGAACATTAAGGACAATGACGAGGCAAAATGGCGCTCAAGGGAACCGTTGTTGCAAGGGCCGCCATAGTGGTCGTACTGTGCGTCCTGATCGACGCCAGATCAGAGGAACGCCAAGCGGCAACGTTGTTCTCCTTCTCGATATCCAGTCGACGCAACTCCACAGGTCACCGACACATCAGGGTATGTTCTTGATATAAATCATAACATTGCCTTTATTATTCTATCGTAACTATCGTAACGTATTATATCGTAACTTTAAAAATCCACATTGTGTTTATATTTAAAAAACAAATTGTGTAACTGGTTAGTTTTATGTATATGTATATATGTGCATGTTTACTAGGTGTAACTAAATATATGTTCTTCATCTAAATGTAGGCATGTATAATATATAGGACAAGTGTGTGTGTGTGTTCGTGTTATGTGTGAACGTGAGAGTGAGCATTCATATATCGGAATGTGTATGTATGTATGTGTGTGTATGAATATATATGTGTGTGTGTATGGGTGTATATATGTGCCATAGATGTATACAGGTCTGTGTATGTTTATATATTGAGTGTATATGCTCGAAAGGAGTGTATTGTAAATTGTTTTTGAATTATAAATGTTCATATATTGTAAAACTGTAGGGTAATGGCTACCACCTGGCAATCAGCCAATTGTAGCCAAATATATTATTATTATTATTATTATTATTATTATTATTATTATTATTAACGCAACCACTGTTGCATGATGTTACTGCACCGACATAAGTGCATTTCGAATGTTCCAAAATTCACAAATATAAAAACAATAACATGTTTTTTTTTCTATTTTCTCCATATTTTTATTAAAAACAATTCGTTTCAATTTTATTTTAAAATTTTATTTCACAGGCTTTTTTTAGTACTCCAGACCCAATTTTTTCAAGAAACGCGGGAGGAGATGAAACCCTTTTCGACGTCAAGCAAAACATAAACATTGAAGGAAACAAGAAAGTTATTCAACTCATTTCATCAGTGGTTGGTAAGACAGACATGTTTACTTAACAAAAAGACATATACAAATATAGCAGCCCCAGCACCAAAAAAACAAAACTTCTAAACAAAGTTTCTAAACAAATCAGGTAAAATGATTGCCCACACGTAGCATGCGCAACACTGCAGAGCAACAAATAATAACTCTGAAATATCATAGCAAAAAAGAAAAATTTTAACAAAAACTCTACTCAGACATAGTCCAATAAGGTACCAAGAACATAAAAAATGTTTCTATTCCATAACGCAACATCTGAATGACAAGCTTATAATGACAGACACTATTACTTGGAGCCTTTCTATCACCTAGAGTTAGCTGGGTCGTAAAGGGTGCCGCACTATGATGAGGCGCACGAAGCCAGTATGCGAAGTACGAGAGACAGAATAATACCATTAAAAATTTACATTTCTCAGTGGAAATCTAAACTCTTACTGTTTTTGAATTTTATCGAGTTCATGGGTTTCTAACGAAACCCTAAAAACTTCGCCCAAAACGGAGCCTGTATAGTTTTTGTTGAATTTCTGTGCGCATGAGAAATTAGTATTAGAGATCCTTAACATTATTCAGGATGAGTCACAAATGACTACTTAGGTATATGTAGGTTTATTGAGACGATTTGCAGAAGTGTTACATATGTCATTTGTGGTGCGAGAACTCAAGTTTTACACGAAATTCTCATTTTGGTTCGATGTGACTGCCATTGATAATGTAATTGATAATAATTCAACAAACATTTCACCGTAAATCAATTTCATCTCACACTCGTGTAAGTAAATCGGGCGTAACCTATGCAACATCTACATAGATACGATTTTCCACGTCTTGTAAACACAACGGCTTCTGACGTAGCAAAGGCCTATCAGAGACGTCTCAGCCTTGCGGCCAAGGGTTAAGGTATACGTGTGGTTAGCGTATAGACATCCCTACGTCGTATTCTTGTCTTCTCAGCCTGATAAGTGAGCTTTCTCATAGTCATACTGCAACAGACACTAGGACACCGCAAGGAAAGCGCACATTATAATCTTTCCCAACCGGTAATCGAACTCGGGATTGCAGCACGGAAAGCGAGCACGTCTGCAAACCGTGGGCAAATTGTCTTACAGGAAAATACATGCAATGTGCAGAGTATCGAGGAAGGAAACGTCAAAACTTGAAAACTTTACTTTTCAAATCTTCTATAAACATGTAGTCAATTGTTCCTCTATTAGCAATATTTGCATGATTAATTTTGTGCAGTGTAGAAGTAAAGCGGTTACTAAGCGGTTAATCAGCGCTCCACTAAGGTTTATTTCGAGAAACACTGAAACAGTGACGAATATGGGTTTACGAGCCTATCAGCGTACTTGTAACTCCGACGGCGTGATTTCATTTTGTCTCTCGAAAAATCAATTTTTTCACATTTTCTCATATACTCGACACCGTAATTCTGCAACAGAAACCACCATCCACTTATTACTATTATAGAAGTATTCATAAGGGAATGGCCGAGGTAAATAAGTTGATAGGTAAGGGACCAGTTCATCAGAGGGAAGTTTGACTGGTTCGAGTCTTGGCAGGAAATTGTTATTTGGGACAATTCTATGTGGCCGCAAGCAATAATTGAGAATTCCACAAACTTTATTAAAAACCATTTGAAGCAATTATAATCACAAGTACTGTTAATCAGGATAAATAAACTGGAAGTGTTTGTATGTCGAATTTTGAACTTTTAAACAATTTTCACATCTCTTATTGGATTTGCAAAACGTCAAATAAATTGTTCAAATAGGTTGTGTACACCATTATAAACCGATTTAAGTAAAAAAACGAACATATATCAACATGAAATTTAAATACATTATGAACACTAGCCATGTGACAAACTTAGATATTCCTAACGGTTTAGAAATTATAATTACTTAACGCCTTAAGAATTCGTCGTAAGAAGACAAAGTTATGTAATTGTTTGCCGGAAAACGAAAAAAAGTTTTTCAGGCGGACTCTGGTAACGAAAAGGGGGATAAATCCTGTTGCTAAATTTAGGAGAAAAAATCCTCTGACACGTGGTGTACTTAGAATTCATGTTTTTTTGGTTTTTCATACCAAAAATTCGACGGCAAAACGTCCCTCTGTCTGTTCTTCCGTCCGACCGTCCGTCCGACCGTCCATCCGTGGTCAACGCTAGAGGCTAAACCGTGAAGCTGATTTTCTTCAAAACTGATATTCTCTGGTTGATCTTAACGGACTGGAGGCCTTCGGAGTTTCTAATGGATATTTTGGTTGTTGAAATATTCATTGTTTTTTTACATGAATCGTGCATGTACCTTTTTATACCTTTGTCAGGGTTCGGTCCATGAGTGCCAGCACGTTAATTCTGAGTTCGAGTCTCGGAGTGGAATAATAATGAGCTGTTTGATATCACTTTTGCTGGTTATGTAGTAATGTAAAGTTGCGGAGCACTTAGAAACAATGCGAGAAAATATGTGCTTTGGCAGTACCACTATTTTTTCTTAATTTAGCAACTGGATTTATCCACTTTATCGTTATAAGGGCCCGGCAATGTACTTTTTCTGTCGAAAATCTGCCTTTTTTCCCTATCATTACAAAACTTTCCCTATACTACGTATATTAGTCCATATATACGGGAAAGCAAAAATACATGGATGATGCCACATGATTTTAAAAGTTTTTGGTTCTATTTTAAAAAGAAAGACGTATTAAAAGATTATTTAATATGATGCAGTGAGTAACTGCAGAAGAATGGAATCCATATGATCTTGAATTATGAAACCACGTAACATTTATGACAAAAAATCTGCAGTTCTTTTGTATCATTTCATAAGTTTCACTCTACTAAGACGAAGAGAAAATAACACTAAGAAACTAAAACGTTCGTAAAATTTAAGGTTCGCAAAAATTTCACTGTAGCAATGTTCTCTCAAATTTGCTCAAATGCACCGGGTTATAGGTTCTTAGTTAGAAGAATATTTTACAGTACAAAATTATTATGCCTTGTATATCAAACATAAATAAACAAAAGAAATGAAGATTAAGATGCATAATTAAATTAATTAAATTAATTAAATTGCGATGTAAAAAGTGAGTCCGTCGCTGGAGCGATACAAGGTGCACTTCGAGCAGAAGTGCCCCGGGTGGACTGGTACCATCTGCACCTGACGCCGCTCACCTGGGAGGAGGCGCGCCTGGCGTGCGAGGCAGACGGCGCGCACCTCTATTAATCTCTTTGCTAAGGAGGGCTTATTCTATTAACAGTTCTCGCTGATGAGAGGCGACCGCCATCGGGGTACGAGCTGGTGCCTGGTGTAGGCTGGTATCGTCTACACCTGACGCCGCTCACCTGGGAGGATGCGCGCCTGGCGTGCGAGGCAGACGGCGCGCACCTCGCCGTCCTGAACTCGCAGGAGGAGGCCAATGCTCTCAAGAATATCTTCGCAAAGGAACGGAGCTCCGAACTTTTCGCTTTCGTTGGATTTTCCGATTTGAAAGATGGCCGCTATCTCACTATTTTCGGTAAGAAAAGATTGCTGAGATGGTTCTAAACTATTATATTTAATTATTTCATAACAGGCATGGCATCTATTTATCAAGAATATGATTTATATTTTGATTGTTACGTGGAAGAAAATGTATTCTTTACTGGCTACAACTGTTCTGCTTTGCTCATACGTAACAGTAACAATTCTTCTTTATTTTCAATATTATTGTATCGCCGATTAACATTTAATGGCATTCTAATATTTACGTATGCAGACACATGAGTATCGACATAACAATGGTTCATACGTTATTGCAAGCAGACGGGCACAGACGGGAATATGCGTATGTGATCCATTTGCCTCGACAGTTATAAAGGAGAAATTTTCTATCGTCGGGACATGGCTAGACCGTCTTCGTACGTAGTTTTTACTCTCCTGTAGACGGAGAAATATACGTAGTAAAGGAAAATTTATGTAATGCTGCGGAAAATCGATTTTGAGATTTTAACGGAAACAGGCAACACGTTTTGGAGTCCCCTGATACCGCAAAAGTAGTTTTTTTCAAAACGTCCGTCTGTCAGACCGTCCGTCCGTCCATCCGACCGTCCGTCTGTGTGGCCGTCTGTACGTTCGTCCGTCTGTCCATCTGTCTGTCCGTCTGTCCGTCCGTCTGTCCGTCCATCTGTCCGTCATTCTGTCCATCCGTCCGCCTGTCTCTCCGTCTGTCTCTCCGTCTGTCTCTCCGTCTGCCTCTCCGTCTGTCTCTCCGTCTGTCTCTCCGTCTGTCTCTCCGTCTGTCTCTCCGTCTGTCTCTCCGTCTGTCTCTCCGTCTGTCTCTCCGTCTGTCCCTCCGTCTGTCCCTCCGTCCGTCCAACCGTCCGTGTACACTACTAGCGCCTAAACAATACGTAGGATTTTCTCCAAATTGAAGCAACCAATGTCGATCTGACTTGAGTCTAATTTTTGAGATTTTGAGAAAAAGTCATTAAAATTCGGAGGTATTTTACATTAAAAACCCCACGGGCATTTTCTAAATTTTCTCAGAAACGGCTCCAAATTGTGTCTTTAATTTTACTGTAAAAATAGAGCAAAATATAGGTGGAATAGGCCCGATTATCAGGCTTAACTAACTTTCCAAAAAATTCAAAATTTCAAAATTGTTCAGCCGTTTACTTACAACTACAAAATGAAAGATAGCGATTTCTTTTCAAATAAAAGTTGTTCTTCACAGTGAGTTCCTTCATTAAGGCCATGTAGATGTGCCTTGTTTCTTTTCTAGGGAGATAGGTGATGCCATTAATAAATGCAGAAGTATAGCAGCAAGCCATTTTCGTCGCATTTAGTTATCTTTTGGGTCGCTAAGTACATGGATTTGAGGCCCTCCGTGGAAATTTCCCCAGCAGTTTGATACAGCACATCTATGCGGCGTTTTGGAAGAAATAGCACTAGCTTGCTAGCACCAATACTTAAAGTGAACATTCAATATCTTTACCGATTGGATTGATCGTCCTAAAATTTTATTTTTATATTGACAACACGTCAATGCTACCCATGTGCAAACAACGCTGATGCCAATTACTACTCCGGGCGCCATGACTACGTCACAAACACGGTGTGGAGGCTTTGTAGTATATCCAGGGGGTGTTGTATGAGTGCACTCACACTATTAGAATGTCTTCGCTCATTTCGGACATCACAATTGTTATAAGTAGAAAGGAATAGCCCCCTTTTCAATATCAAGTTAGGTGGTGCAGGTGGCGTATTCGTAACTCGAAAATTGATAATTTTTTTTATTGTCGGTGGACTTTCAATCAATAGAATAGTGTAGAAGAATGTGTTAGTCTTCATGTCGAAGGAATCACGTTAGCAGACTTTGCTTTAATTATATTAGAAATATTACGATATCAAGTTTCAGAAGAATAATAATATTGTTAACTTCAAACTGAGAATTACTTAATGTTTTGCAAATATCGTGTCTATAATTTATGTAGATTAATTTTGAATAGTAGACAGAATAATTGATTTGCATGAATATAGTTTTAATTCAGGAATGAGTTTGTTTATTATGAGTGGAATGGAGTTATTTATCAATGTTAGGAAAACTAATCGGTTTGTGGCACCCTCCTGTTGTGAAGTGATTGAACAGGAAAGAGTGTTTTACGCGAATATTTTGTTTAAACAGTAATCTATGTATTTTTTTAAAGTTAAATATTATTTTTAGTTATTATTTTTTATTATTTGTTAGTAACTTTTGTGTAGTAAACGCATTAGATAAAGTAATAGTTCAGATCTCTCTATAATTAAATTAATTATACTTTGCCTCGCGTTTCGTATTGAATTTCATGATGTGTCTAGCTCTAATTTAAATCAAAGTTTTGAGCGTTTGTCTACTTACATTATCTCAAAGTACTCTCGTCTTTCTCCTCGTATGCCAGAAAACACCGCTCATGCGAGTTTTCGGTTGGTGGTATACTTTATAATTAATCATGTCTTATTCTTACTAAACTGTTTTGCAGCTTATCGTATAATCCTTCCTTTGCGAAGATATTTCAGCAACATTGACGTTTTGACGAAAGCAGTGACTATTCCATAATTCCATGCTGGAGCTCTTCTTTATTACGTTATTTATTTATTTATTTATTTATTTATTTATTTATTTATTTATTTATTTATTTATTTATTTATGTTAAAAATAGTTAAAAACTGTGTGCTATTGGGAAAAGTTAATTTAAAGTTTATTTCTTACACTTACGCCCAAAACGAAAGAAGGTCTATTCAGCATTTGTTCCATGATCAGAGAAACTGAAGGAAAAGTACAATTCTTGTTAGAGATTCTTTAGAATTATACAATCCAAATTGTAAATAATACATTAAATGTCATTGTTATTACCACCCATTGTTATTACGACACTGAATTAACTTTATAAGTTTTACTACTATTCGCGACCTAAATTTTTCACGAATATTACTCTTTTCTCATTAATCAGTTTTAGTTCACTCGTTTCCTATTATCTAATAATCGTGGACCACATGTCCATTTTATATCTTATGAACCAACAAGACAATACTTTTACGTAACGCTCTGACGACTATAGATCTTGGCGCTACCAAACCCAATATCATTCTTCCTGAAGTGATCGTTTTCACATACGATCTGTGTTGAAACGTTTACTTGCTTAAGTGTTATTCTTCGACTCGATGCGCTCTCGTTGGCCCCACAACCATGCATCTAAACCACTCTATCAATAATGTCCCATACTTTTAATATGTTTTGTTTCCTAAAATTTTCTACATTGCCAAACTTCATTTAATCAAAATGATATTTTCATTTTCTAATGTCTCGCGTTCTCGATTAATCATTTTAATTTGTATATTTACGTAATTACTTATATTTCACATGCCACACGACATTAATGTTTTTGCTTTTTGAATACAAAAATCCCGTAAGGAATTTTGCATTCCCACAAGAATATATGGCACCGATTTACAATGCGGATTGTGAGAAATTCCCCCTCCAAGTAACACGCCCAGGGGAACTTTTCCACAGTCCTGTCAAGCTCGAAGTGTAAGTTTCCACCATGAGCGTTCGTGTAAAGCATGCTTTGTACTGCTTTGTCACTCGAAAGGTATTGATAGGAGAAGCAACGGATCGGAGAAATATGAATCCCGAATTCTCCTTCAAAAAGTGGTTAAATTCGATCCAACTTCATGGCTAGTTTCGAATGCCCTTAACCGTCGTGATTTGACCCTCAGAATCTCCCGGTCTACAAGGTTAACAGGGCCGTCGCCGCTCAGCTGTCATCGTTATTAAACGAAATTTTAACTTTTTTACTTTCTTTCCAATTTTAACATGACATCATTTACAATGAGATATAATCTTTCTGGCTTCAAACCTTCGGAAATATTTGATTAAAATTAAGTTATAAATACTTTTACTTATGAACGATATAGGTGAAAATGAAAAACAATGCCCTTAACTAATATTTGTTAATAACGTGCCCATCGAAACATTAAGAAAATTTTATTTTACAGGAGAAACATTACAAGAAGCGGGATTCGATTCCTGGAACTCAGGACAACCAAATAATCATAATGATCATTGCGGAACAATCTCCAAAGCTGAAGGAGAGTTGTATGACACAGACTGCGCACAAAAGCATTTTTATTTTTGTGAATTCCAACTATAATGAATTAACATGTGTGTACTTAAATTGTGGCAAAACGTGAATTGTAAAATGTCCTTTGTATTTTCAAGAAAAATAAAACTGTTATTTCTTTTCATATCTCTTGGAATTAAAACATGACATCTGTATAAATATATATTGAAATTTTTGCAGTTTTGAATACCTTAACTTTCAAAAAATGCATTGTGTTCGTGTTTACTACGTACTTCTGGACATGTGGGAACAATTCCCACATTTTAAATTATAGTTTTCAAAGACCCAATGTATACTCGGTCAGATGTATGACAACAGACGTGTACATTCCGTGGAAAGTGAAATAATCAAGTTTTTGATTCAATAATCCAGATGGTCACAAATATACCACATAACAACATTGCGTACATATATAATGAAACGGCGTGTATAAACAATGTTAGTCTATTAACAATTAAAGCAATTATTTTATTAGTATGTTCACTTTTTCACATGAAAAAGCTTTATGGGTCTATTGCCGGTTTATATACGTACGTTTAGTACATCTGTCGAAGGGGTGTAATTCATTAATTTAATGACATTAAAAAGGATATTTGTAAAGTAGAATTACATTCACGTCGTGACTTTGCTGAATTTACGATACAAGGTAATGGGTAGAGAAGTGTGTCTCAAATGATAAAGAAAAGTGCTTAAAGCTGTTATAATTTGAACATTACATACAATTTTAAGTGTTACTGATTATAAGTAAATACCATCTTGGAATACCCAATCCTGGCTATGTTAAATGTTTGAGTCTAATTTTCAGAATCTTTTGAAGTTATGGTTATGAAATGTTTACAAATAACAGATATATAAATCACAAGACACAAACAATGGTTTTGAAAAATAATTTCTATTGCTGTAGATAATAATATATTCTCAAAATGCAATTTTTACCGCGTTTTCTAATAAATAAAGATTTGGAGAATATGTAATATTAAGGTAATCAGAAAAAAGTTATTTAAGTAAATGTAATAGTCTTTTAACAAAAACTATTGAAAATGTCAGTTCTCTATTACAATGCAGTTCTCTACTTGCAATATGAAAAAAAAATGGTTTAGTATTAAAAATATCAACTTTCGGGAAATGGGCTTTGAAGATGCAACCCATCCAACACGTCAGCTCAGTAACTTGCCTCATCAAAATAAATATTTTCCAATAAGTACTTATTTTTAAGACTTTATGTTGGTTAGCTTCACAAAAAATTTTTCAATATAATCTCTTCTCATGCTACGTCTTTCAGAATTTATGCTCTGTATTGTGTAACATTATCTAAAAGTAATGGAGCCAGCACCTAAGCTCTTTGAGAGGTTTCACATATAAATAATTTTAGAAACAACATTTTTAAATATGATCTCAACATAAATCAAACCTAATTTAACCTTTCGTAGGATGTTGGTCAACAATTAATGTGTGGTGTATTACATAACATAGTGAACAACAAAACTCACAAGCAATATAAACTTACTTACAGGCATGTAAGCATTCTAATATGTCTTTTGTTAACAATATGAACCTGTAGAAATAATTACTCATAAGCATAGTACAAGAAATGACATGAATTAATATGCAACTAGATAATCCAAGTAGAACGAAGACATGCAAAACGCAAAGGCAAAACTTTCGCAGAAGTGCACTAGGGCATGGGGCTAGATTATAATAAATTAATATCCAGTTTATCAGTTTCATTTTACGAGATATTAAGATAACTTTGTCTCTTTTTTTCAAATGGAACTATACATATTTTTTAGTCAATTATGATGAGCGTCCGCTAGGAACGCTGTTAAAATCACTAACAATCAATCAAACATTACGGTTTTAAGTTAAGTTGAACAGTTGAATTTTTCCAAAAATAAACAAATACAAATCTTAGTAAATATAAAACATTTCTATTATATTTTCAGAAACATGTTTAACTGTGTTGTCAGTGTACGATAGTAAATGCATTGTTTGCGAATGTGTAAACTTCCCACATTTCATTATTCTTCCAGACTTAACACACTCAACGACATGAAACAATGTTTTCAGGTTTTCTATGTTCCGTGTAGTAAATAGGCAGGGCTTTCCTACCAACTCTTGACCCCAGAGAATAAACTGAAAAGTCGATATTTTGCTGAAAATGAGATAATTATACTCCTGAATTCTCTGAAAGATTCTCTATGTTTGTGAATAATCAGACAAGTTTAATTCCTTCTCGCTGATGAGTAATATGCATGTACATATTTGAACATCATGGAAATTGCTTAAAATCAGAAACCCTAACAAGATAGGACACGCTGTCTAGTTATTCACGCTTTATCAATGATTGGAGACTATCGATCAAAATAAAATAAGTCGAGTTCCTTTTTTTTCACGCTGGAAGATTAGTTGAAATATTCACAGGAGAGAAATATATTAATATAATCACGTAAATATGTTTTTTGAAGAACTCATGATTAACTTAGAACATGCTTAACATAACCAAATCTTTCGGAATGTGTGAATGTTTTATCTTTTTTGGCATAAAAGAGCCAACAGCGAGAAGTGATACATAGTAAGTTAGGAGGTGGGTGTACATTACGACCACGCGAAAGGCGATTTACGAGAAATCCAATTCTGCGAATTGATTAGCTAAGGATGAAAATGCAGATTATGAGACCGTAAAACAAAGATAACCCCTTGTGCGACACTGCAATTCACTCGGAGTGCACGTATTTAAGAAAATATGCCATCAAAGGCCCGAAGTGTGGGTCCCTTGTCAATACGGGGCCATATGCAACTGCCAATCTCATTTAAAGGAAATTACCTTCCGCCACGAATCCACATGGACTCTCACAAGACTGTCATCGTGTTGGTGCGGAAATACTTTGGTTGCTGAAGCTTCCGTAAACTAGTGGCGGTGGGTGCCTCGACAAACTGATCTTCAACAACAAACATCTCTATCGAATAACAGAAATGTAATTCTAACAATTCAGAACACTATTATAAACGTATTAAATTCACAAACATTAGTTAAAACTACATTGAATGAAAGTCTCTATGGGAACATATCTTTCGTAATTGGATGTGTAATGTCCGTATCAGTTATATTCATCTCGCGGTTCTGGCATGTGGATCTGACTTTGCTATCCAATGGGCATTCGATTTTTTGTATGAGTTTTGCCTTGAGGGAATTGACGATAATAGAATTCATGCAAATCAGTAAAGAACTGGGTTTAAAAAAATACAGTTATTCCACTGCAGCACTTTACAACAATTACTTTTATTTGGATTCAGAAATAAAATTATATTATTTCGAAAATTTCACTACCCAGGTATATTTGTCAATAATTAAAGATTTTCCATACACTCGTATTCACAAGATGCACACATCGTTAGAAACCGAACGAGTTTTCCTTCCAGAACAACCAATTTCACAGAAAGAACTCATCAACTGTACATTTTGAATCAACGAGCATCAAATGGAATAAAAATATATTCTCTAAATGTCATAAACAATGCACTCGAAACCATCCATGACTGACTGACCTCATGTTCTTTCAACAGGCGAAATGTATAAAATTATGTTGCAGTTAGTGTCAGACGAAGACCTAAAATTGGAACGCAACGACGTGCTATGCACTTAGACACCCACACCACATCCATACAAGACGTCTGGTTGCCGCACTAAAGGCGGTATGTTGAAGCATATAGAGATGGTTTAAATGCAGTAAAACCAACAGTCAAAGTAAATGCAGTAATAGAGGAAAACGCGTGACATGATGCTCTCCTGGGAGAGCACCAGGCGCTAAAGAGAGCTCATTCCATTTGAACCTTAATATTTCATTCCTAAAGATATTTTTATATAACATTATTTCGTCCAACCTCTAATACCCACGCACATCACACAAGAACATTCTTTGGCGCTGATTAAACGAATACGGATAATGGCGTGTTCTTTTTTGCTCCTTTTCCCCCAGTTTCGGTCGCAATGCGCGAGGATTCGCTCTGAAAGTATCGGAATGTCGTACGCAATACAGTGATATTGGAATTCAACTTCAGTAATAGACGAGTTGTTTTGCTTTCTAATAGTCAATTCACCCTCAGTTTTTCGTTTACTCACGTTTTTCTACGATATACATTTTTTTGTATTTTTGCAGAGAGAGAATTATCACGTGTTACAGCAAAAAGGTTTTAGACCAAAATGCACGAGGCAACTATTTACTAGTCACAAAAATTTATAATTAATATAAATTTCTAATATTTGCGCAGATAATATTTTAAAAATAAAATGGAAGGGGATGATATGAAGGAAAATGCAAAACTTTTCCCGAGTTATTGAAATGAACAAAAAATGAAACTTAATGGCACACTCATTATTTACAGGTTTGAATAAAACAAAGTATTTAATTGTCATCGTCCTTCAATAAAATTACGAAAAAAATGAAAATCAATACAAAGGAATTACGAAAGGAAATTAAAAGCAAAATAAAACGAAAACTGATATATCTTTGACAAAAGACAGAGTATTGGTAAAACCAAAACTTCTGCTCATGTTAAGTTTATGTTTCTGTATTGGTTATCTACTCGAAGTGAGCCTATCTTGATGTTGAGCGAAAGAGATGGCTCAGGACTGATGTCACTATAGTGCTTCTGACCGGAAAGTCCAATGTTCGAGTCCCGACAGTGGCAGGGTTTTCGACAATTGCTAGATAGCTTGGTCGAATTCAGGGGCTGTCTGGAGGAGAATTCTAGACGTCGTTGTTCTGATCAGTAGTTTTCTGTGGTTTCTCCGATAAACATCAGACAAAATCTGAAGCAGTAGCCTAACAAACGGGCCATGCAGCACGCGCAATCTTTCCTTTCTCATCCTTGTCCTATCCTCACACCTCTCTTACAGTCTCTGCCCATCAGTGGTAGCGTACGCACGTCCCGCTGCGCGGGCGTTGTGACACATCATGATAAGCGTTCAGGTGGCGATCGTCTGATCGGAGCCCGATGCAAGCTACGTTAATTTAAAACATTGTTTTCTG